AAATTTTGCAATGTTGTTGTGTCAAATATACAATAACAATAAAAAGATATGTTACACCTTTATAACAAGGTTAAATGGTCATAAAAATAATGTTACCTCAAATTCTTCTTACAGTCTTCAAAGCCAAAGACTTGGCCCCTTTTCTGCTTGGCTGAGTTCCAATCGCAGGAGGTCAGTTTGTCAAGGACACTTCAGCACATTCAGGATCCTCTGGTGTGGCTCGGACCTCTTTCCTTTGGTCAGAGATTGTTGCTGTCTCTTTACATCACTGCAGTGACAGAAGGGATCAGACAAGTGTCCGTCTGCTCTGACAGAAGAGGACACTCCTGATATTCTAACTTTTACTTGGTGAGTAAAGTAAGGTATTTGTAAAAGTCTTTTTCTTCAGTTCTTCTTCAATTACAATGTACTGTATCTAACAACAATCTAGGTATTATTGTAAAAATAAAATAGCACGACAATACACAAGTGATACTACTATTTCAATGCATAAATAAAATCTGTTTAAAGATCAGTGTGTAATCTGGATTAGTAATTCATATTGTCAAAAATAGCAGATTCAAATAACAGATAACAAAACAGAAAATAGGCTTCATATATCTGGACATAAAGTATATACAATTTTAGATGTATTATAATGTTTTATACATGATTGCATAACACCACAGGTGCTATAGCCTCAGTATTTTAATCACAAAGCACTTGCTTTCAAGGGTCTTCAATTTCGCTTGCACCATTTTGTGAACAAGTGCATATTGTTTTTCTCTTGGCTTAGTAGAACAAAGACAGAAGTTGCTGACACTAATTTGCCCCTTGACTAGTTTCCCACACAAAGATGCACACTTGAACAATCTTCAATTCAACTGACGCCTCAGTGGAGATTCAAAGTTATGTAAAAATTCAACTTTCCACTCCATTTGCCCGCCGTGCTGACTTCCAGGACCGGGTGCTTGTTATTCCCGTTTGGAGCCAGGATAGGGACCTCCATTATAGCGCTATTGATTACAGGCTTATGATGTTCTTCTGTGTGCACATTTTAGTGTAAAATCAGCAGGAGCAGTGCGGGGCCATTGCATTTCATTACAGGGGTCTCATACACAGACATGCACTGAAGTCACAGAGAGAGATAACAGCTTGCAGAGGGGAGGTCGATACTTGTCAAAGATAGTCTAAAGAAGAATGGTTTAATCAGCACCAAAACTATTGCGATGCTGTAATGGAGATTTAGAGATTGGTGTAATAGAGAATCATAACGATCAGCCAATTCTTCAGGAGCATGTCTCATCGAGTGGTCTTTTTTTGTAGAGTTGAAATTCTGCATTCTATTGAACCAAACCCGTGGCAGTGTCTCCACTGCAAAGTAGGACCCCTCGAAGCCGTGTAATCATTGTGCGACTGTTTCGACCGTGACGTCACTCAGGCGGGTCACAAATCATATCGTATTACTTTAGTTTAAATCCTAAACTTCTAATGCAATTTACCGTCTTACAGATTCTTCCCTAACACGCCGCTCCTAAGAAGTGACGAATTACGAATTACGTTCTTCTCTGAGGATTAGTGGCATCTCTCACTTGTTTGGAGTCAGTCGCTCAACTGCCTGTAAGTGTTTAAAGGCCTTTGTTCTGCTGAAGAGACATTATATTAATGGTACATGAGTTCAGGCATGATTCTCATGAACTAATACATGAATTAATGCATGATTTCATGATACATTCATGCATTACTAGATCATGAATTCTCATGAACTAACATAATTACATCTAGGTTCATGGATGACTTCTTCTTGTAAGGATTGTAATCTTGGAGGATTTACACAGTTGTGGATTTGCCAACACAGATCAGAGAATCAGGTAATGCAATGACAAAAAACACATAGAACCATTGGTCCATAAGGTCTCCGAAGATCTGAACTCCACTTGTCTTGTCTCTTTCATTGCTTTGTGTTCGATAGATTCAGACGTACAAACTTTCTGACTGCTCTGTGCAAAGGAGTTTGAGTAAATGTAGGCGATGTTTAATGAATGCATGAATGCGGTTTTGTGAAGACGGGAACTATGCATTCAACTACTGCACTGCAAATATGTGTTTACAGAAAGTATATCTGGTTCAAAACATAATAATCATTTGTCAGTCTCCCACATGGACATGATTTTAGAAACCAATATTTTGTGAACATCAGTGTTTTGGTTAAGCTACTTTAAAATGTATACAGTTACAAATCACTTCTTCCTTCTATAAAAAGTTATTAGTTATTAGTTATTGATACTTTGTTACTGCCCCAAGAAAGTAAGAGGACAGAATCAAGTTTGTATGTTTTCTTTATCAAAGTCATTTAAAGTCATTTGAATAAAGGTCTATCTTGGTCAAAACTGGCTCAGACTACCAGAGCTGGAGGATTTTGCCACATGTTTTTAGTGTAGGGGAAACCGGAGCACCCGGAGGAAACCTATGCAGACTTCACTCAGAAAGAGCTTCTTGCTATCTGGATCTCTAGTGACATCTGGTCCAGCATTTTTTTGGGATCTTGTCTTTTATCTTATGTATCCTAATGATGAAAACAAAAATACAATAAGTAGGAGGAGCAACACATTAATAAGTTCCTAATGATTCATTACCTGCATTTGATATGAACCCATGGATATAACCCTCCTCCTCCACTCTGTCTCTCCACTGTCTCACACTGCTCTGGTCACTTCCATCTGTCTCACAGCTGGTTTGTAGCATCTGGCATTTGTCATTTCTTGTAACATCTGGTCTTTCAGCTGGTCTTTTGTAGCATCTATTCTAGCATCAGATCTAAATGTGGCCTCTGGTCGGGCAACAGCTTTAAGCAACATCTGTTCTTCCTGATGTTTTACAACATCTGATCTGGCCTTTTTTCTGGGACTTTTTCTGGCACAGGCTGTGCCCTATGAATAAGACAAAAAGGCAATGAAGAGGATGAGGGACACACAATAATGCACACATGGTGATTTACCTGTAACTCATATGATCTCATGGATATAGCCTCCTCCTCCACTCCGTCTCTCCACTGTCTTCCACTTCCACCCGTCTCTCAGCTGGTTGGTAGCATCTGGTTTAGCATGTGTCATTTCTTCTAACATCATGTCTTCCATCTGGTTTTCTAGTGGCATCTATTCAGGCATCTTGTCTATTTGTTTACCTCTGATTGGGCAACAATTTTTAGTATCTGGTCTTCCATTTGGTGCATCTGGTATCTGCCTTTTTACTGGCATCTAACCAGTTCTTACATTTGGTCTTTTTGTGGCATCTGGTTTTCCATCAGGCCTTGTATGGCTTCTGGTCTGGCGTACGTTTTGTGGCGTCCAGACTGGAATCTGTCATGGCATCACCTATGTAGTGTCTTTCTGGCTTTCTGGCATCTGAAATGGCATGTGTTTTGAACTTGGTCAGGGATCCTTCATTTTTCCAACATCTGGACTTCTGGCATCTGATGTGTCCTAATGAGTAGTACAAAAATGCAATGAAGAGACACACAAAACTGGATGATTTACCTGTATTTAATATAAACACATGGGTTGAGCCCTCCTCCTCCACTCTGTCCCTCCACTGTCTCGCTCTGCTCTGGTCACCTCTGTCTGTCTCAGAGCTGCCCTGTGCCTTCTGGTCTGGCACTTTCCATTAATTTTTATCTTCTGGTTTTCCATCACGCATAATTATTGTGCTGAAGACAACAAAGCATTGAAGTGGCAGGAGAGACACATGGAATGTTTATATGATTTACCTGTATTCAATGTGAACATCTGTATAACCCTCCGCCTCCACTCTGCCTCTCCACTGTCTGAACTCCTCCGTTCCACCTCACTGGTAAAAAAAACAAAGAGACATATGAATTCTCTGCTTTTATCTGAAACAATGCAGTCTTGTAAAGTAATGTGATAACAACCTTACTTAAACTAAAAATGTCCTTTATCCTCTTTTTCTCTATGAGAGAACATGGATGGAGGAAACCTGTGAATCAAAGTTGTTAACCACATACAGACAGTAAATTACGAGTGTGTAGAAACTTTTTACACATATTTTATAAGTAACTTGGACACGCTGGCATACAGAAATGGCTGCTGCTAGAGCTACAGCTCATCCGTGGCATCTGTTGCAATTGCAATAACAACATCAATCATTTGTGGCATCTGTTCTGATACAGTATTAATGTCATCTGACATTTTTTGTCTCCCTGTTCTGGTCACTCCTGTGTCCTATAATAATGTGATGCATTGACTTGACGCACACTTCAAGGGACGACTTAAATGTCTATAAAAGGATTTACCTGGTATTTGGTTTGAACACATGGATAATAACCCTCCTCCTCCACTCTGTCTCTCCACTGTCTCAACTCATCTGTTCCACCTCACTGACCATAAACAACAAACAAATTAATTTACTGGACTTCATCACACAGAAATAACTCTATGCTATACCTGTACAGTATATTTCCTGATTGCGCCATTTTCAACGTTTTACTGCATTTTTAAATCTAAAACAGAGGAAGTCTCTTGAAGAAATGTGGCGATTACTGTTTAACCTATACTTACTTTACTGTTCTTGTTCCTCTTTTTTATCCTAAAGAGCAAACCTGTGAATCACAGCTATATCAAAAATGTTTGGGTACATTTGAAATGCTGCGATTTATCAAAGACAGGCTAGTGTTGTGGCTTCAGTTTTTGTTTTTTTTACAGTAACAGAAATAACCTGTCCATTTAATGGTTTCTGTTTTGTTTTTGTTTTTTTTAGAAATCCAACGGGATTCACAACAATTAAAACAGTAACAAACTTAACCTATATAAAGGATCAAACAAGGATCCTGCAAAAGATAACAAGAACAAACGTATTTTTTTGTGTTTTTTTAAAAGGGATCAAACTGGGATCCAACTATATACATATTTACACAGTCATACATCACCCATCACCGGGACACGGTCTTGTGAGCCCCAGTTCCTCTCTGCTCCTTGAAAGAAACAAAGCAGAGAGTGCATCAGTTCTTAACAAGACTTGTGCTTTTTGGGTGGATGTTTGGCGTTCGGCTCACGTGACCTTTTGCGCTTGTGCTGGGCCGTCTCAGACACCGCCCGGTGCGAGGAAGGTCCAGGGATGGCAGGGGTGGGCTCGGACTGCGGGACAATAGGGACAGAGTTAGACTTAGACTTAGAAGTAGGAGTGCGTCTGGGAACTTTACGAACGCACGGAAGACGAGTGAACCAAGAGTCAGTCAGAGATGTGAGCTGAAGACGCCTGGGAGGAGGAGGGGCAGAGCGAGGAGGAGAAGGAGTAGAATAAGCAGAGGGAGGAGGACGAGAGAGGATCCTGCCAGGGTGAACAGTGCGGAGCCAAGACACAGGGACCAAGCGAGGAACAGCAGGAGCAGAGTAAGGTTTAGGGAGCTTAGGAGCAGAGCGAAGCATAGTGTTAGAGAGTGAGGACTTAGCTTAAAAGCAGAGTCCTGTCCACGAGATTTGATGGAGAAGGAGCACAAGGACCTGTGGAGGAGGAACAGGACATGTCAAACATCACTGCAAACATTTCACACAACAGAGAGACACTATATTCTTCATTTCATTGTTTTCTGAGAATATATTTACTTATTCAGATTCATATAATTTGCCAGTTATTGTAAAACTGCAAAAGTTCCCAGTGTGCACCAGACAAGTATGAATGAAAAGTCAAGAATAAGCTCAGTTTAAGAGTCTGGATTCATAAATAACAGAGCGGAGCACATTGTCCATATAATCAATTCCTTACTCTCAAAACAGTACGAGTTTTCCTCTTGTGTGTAAAAGTATGTTAGTTAAGTTACTTTAAAGCTGAGTTAACTTTACTTTTGTTTATTACATAACTAATACCTTATGTTTTTTCATCACAACAAGGATTTTATAACATGTTTTGTGGTTTTTAAGTCAAGTATCCCAGCTTTAAATGAGTTTAATGGGTTGTTCCAGCTGCAGGGCTGTGGTTTCATGTACTTTAGCACTTTGGTTCATTCAACACTTTATGATGCACATGCAGTAGCTGACAGCACAACATCACTAATACTCAATTCAATTCTATTCAATGTATATTTGTATGACTGTAAATCACAACAGTAGTAATCTCGAAGGACATTAAATAGTTGTGGATTTGCCAACACAGATCAGAGAATCAAACCGTCTAAGCCATTAGGTTATAAGGGGTAGATGACCAATGTCCAAAAATGTTAATAATTATGTCTATACTCACAAAAACCTGCTTTAACTTTGATCCAAGTCACTGTGTGTCAGAGTAACAAAGGCCAAACACAGAGCCACAGAACAGGGAAAGTGGAAAAGCTCACGTTTTGTGGTCAGAGGTCTCACAGTCAGCAGGTGGTCTGAGTATCAGTGGTCAGCAGTGATGTCTCCTGGTGGAAGAAATCCTTGTGTGAAGTTTGACAAAAACAATTTGTGTCACAGCCAAAGTTTTGCTCTGATTCAAAAGATGCACTGTTTTAGAAGATGCACTTAGCAACAGATGACCCTAGCAACACAAACCTGACAGCAAGAGGCACATGCACTGATATGACAATGAGATCTTTTGAGAAATAGGGAGAAGAGAATCAATCAATTAATCGCATTTTATTTATAAAGCACTTTTTCATACAAAAATTGTAACACAAAGTGCTTTACAATTTAGTTAAAAACTATCCAAGATGCCCACCCCTAATATCCCACCGCCCCACAGACCCACCAAAACCATGTTTATTGATAACTATACACCCACATGCATACACACATAAAAAACGCACACACGTACACACACACACACACACACACAGACAGAGACAGACACAAACAAAGTCACAACAGAAAGGTAAAATAGAGGGCTCCTCCAGCGGGAAATACTAAAACAGGTAACACTTTATATTAATGGTACATGAGTTCATGCATGATTCTCATGAACTAATGCATGAATTAATGCATGATTTCATGATACATTCATGCATTACTAGATCATGAATTGTTTTTCCATACAAAAATTCCAATTAAAGGAAAAAATCCTTAAATCATTGCTTCACTTTAGTAGAGGGGACACAATCATAAGGAAATCATGATGTATTAAGGATTAGCAAATGATGAGTTCATGACTGCCATAAATGTTGTCCTAGAAAGTTGCACATTGTGTCGTTCATAATTTTCAGTAGATTTCTGCCATGAGTCAAGCTGTTCATGTATGATCCTCATGATCATGATAGGTTGATCATTTTATTGTCATTTCATTGCTGTTTCAGTAAATTCATGGTATTCTTATGTGATCCTCATGATCATGATGATTCTTTAAGATTTTCATGTAAATTCCTTACAGTAGTTCAACCATTAATTCATGGATGAAGTCATCCATGAACCTACATGTAATTGTGTTCACAGTAAAGTGACAATTGAAGTATCTGGACTTTAAAAGGTTATAACTTAAAAACTAAAATTACTTTCATAGATTGGAAGAAAGATTTCAAACACAGACACATTGAAGAGATAGTGTGGAAAAAATCAAAAGGAAAGATTGACATAAAAATGTTTAGCAAAATATTAAACGACCAAATTAGCCAGTTACATAGAAAATAAAATGTCCTCAGTCTGAAAAAGCAGAAGATGAAATCCCACAATATTTACATGGTTAACACAACAGAAGGAAATCACTTGATATAAAAAGGAATCGTGAAAAAATAAAAATTAATTCATTAATTAAATGACCCCTGAAAAATGTATAACGGACGTGATGAGGACGTCCTCTTTTTTCTAAAAATTAAACTTGAGAAAAAAAAATTCTGGTCTGTTTTCACATTTAATTGCTTGACAATATAAAAGTATCACTTTGCATCTACTTTGTGTAAAAAAGTAGAATCTCTGAATCAAATGTGGACATCTGAAAATACCTATCAAACTTCCACAAAGCTTATTCCGTCAAATCATCACATCCGTTACATAAAATAAACAGGGCCGCTTTAGGAAACTTGTCTAATGTATAAAACAGTTATGGTCTAGCAACTTCTAATGGACAGAGGAGGTGCTTGGAAACATGAAAAACATAAAATATCTTCTGATTATTAAAATCAAATTTTTGGCCTTTTGTCTTCTTGGAGTGATACAAGACAATATTCCTCTAAATGATCAAATATTTCACAGTGGGAAATTGTGTTCTAATTTTGCTTTCATTCATTATTAACTTTTGATTGTTTAATTATTTTTTCCAACTAGCTCTGCTTTCTGAGGTGAATTGATATTGATCTTGTTGTTTTTCTACCAAAAGCAACTGTTGCCCTTTAAACCAGTTCATGTAAAACAAGCTTGCAGAGCTTGGATTCATGGTTGGAACATGTTGCACCTGTTTGGGTTGTTTAAACAAAGTTCACATAGAATACTGCATTAGAAAACTGTTGTTGTTACAGTTGGTTACAGTTTCAGCAAATGCAGACTGAGCCGAGGTGTGCTGTGAGATCACACAGATGCTGCAGTCTCCACCGCAGGATCCTGCCAGTGCCCACAACAAAGAAAATAATGAAATAAACCAAAAATAGGAAAGTGTTTGTAGCGTAGTAGGTGAGCTAAATCAGCCGCAGACACAGGCAGGAAAATCCAAACCTTATTTTGGATTCATTGTGCAGCTCCAGCATATTTGGCTTTGGATCCAGTGGATGTGGGCAGATGGTCTTGACATGCGGCTTTCTGAGAGGACGACAACTCAAAAAAACGTTAATGTAAAAAGTGTTTGGGTAAATTGTAAACAAACCTCATGTGGAGGCTCAACAAACATCCCTCCATCGCATGTGCATTCTGGAGAGGCTGCTGCAGAAGCGGCTCGTAATGGTTTTACAAACGCAGTGTAAAGAAGCTGGAGAGAAGTATGAGACGTGAATAGATGCTAAGACCAGCAGAAGAGCCAGAACCAAGACCAGGACCCTTGGATATGAGCATTCACGGCCGTGGAGCCAGGCTTCCCCACGGCAACACTTCCTGCCCATAGTTATGCACATAGTCCTGCACATGGTCCTACCCATAGTCCTGCACATGGTCCTTGCCATAGTCCTGCACATGGTCCTAGCCATAGTCCTGCACATGGTCCTACCCATAGTCCTGCACATGGTCCTGCCCATAGTCCTGCGCATGGTCCTAGCCATAGTCCTGCACATGGTCCTAGCCATAGTCCTGCACATGGTCCTACCCATAGTCCTGCACATGGTCCTACCCATAGTCCTGCACATGGTCCTAGCCATAGTCCTGCACATGGTCTTACCCATATTGCACTACTGTTTTATTCTGTTGATCCTGTTTTTAATGTTTTTTTTATGTCCTGTACAGTGTCCTTGGGTGTTTTGAAAGGCGCTTTTAAATAAAATGTATTATTATTATTATTATTGTCCTGCACATGGTCCTGCCCATAGTCCTAGAAATAAAAAATAACATTCAAACTCACATCGCTGAAAAATAGTGTTCTAGCAATTGCTTTGTGGGATTCCGCAGGAGGACATTTTGAGATTTGAAACACTTCATGACAATAAGCCTGGAGACAACATAAAAACAAAGTTTTCTTAGTGTGGAGTTGTCAAAGAGTCTGATAAGCAGAAAATAGCAGCAGCTAGTGCCCTATTCTCCACTTGAACAACCTCAATGATTTTGTAATTCAAGTTCTGGAAGTGCATTTGACTTTGAGATAAGGTTGTGGGCGTGATAAGGTCGTTGGACACATTTTGTATTAGCAGCTGCTGAGTGGCACTTGTTTCACACCTACTTCTTGCCTCCCACTGTTTAGCTGCTTTCTCTGAACTTATTGCTCTCGACTGACAGGGCTCCAGTCTGCAGATGTTTCCAATGTAATTAAATCATCCATCCATCCATCCATTTTCTACCCTTTAATCCATTTCTGGGTCAGGGGGGTGGCAATCAGAGATGCCACCCAAGTCTCATAGCACCAGCCCCTCACTGACCCTCTGCAGGTGGTGAGTCCACAGGAGGACGGCTGCTCTCTGAGTGTGAGCATAGCCTTGATCTTTCAGTGGGGGCTGAAAGATCCCAGTCAAAAGCAGTCGCCTTCCTCTTTTTCTGATGTAATTAAATCAAGATAGTATTATTATGGCTGCAACCAAATTTACTCGTTATTCCTGCATAATATGACCGGAAATATATTGTTTGATTCCAGGTTGATTACAAATAACTTATAAAAACATTTCAATATGGCCTTCTGACTCTCATCAGACCAAACAAAGAGCTTGGCAAGATTGGTGAGGGCAGTCAAGGAGGCGGAAACTGAGGGGAAGATCATACAGAACTGGTGATAGTATCCAGCCATTCCCATACGAGAAAAGAGTACTATTCCAGCCATGCCCCCTGACAAGCTGGAAAACTATAATTTTGTAAACATTTGTTTCACCGATTTGGCAAAATTGCTCCACATGCTCTATGTGTAGCATCTAAAGTTAGCCACAGATTTTGAACAGTTAAACAATGAATGAGCCGCTGATTTTGACTAGTGTATTTGACTAGTGTATTTGCAGTAAAACTTCAATAACAAATCACTATAGACGGCATGATTTCCAATGTATTTTATTAAGCGATGGCACATTTAATTTAAAAATGAATTTGAATCAACATGACGGACATATCACTGTAATGTTGTGTTTTATTGAACTTCACAAAAGAATACAACACCTCGAAACTCTGGCTACAAGGTCTCTGGTGCTGGTCCCAGTAAGATAAGAATTCCTTTATTTCGTCCCACAGTGGGGAAATTTCGATGTTGCATCGCACATATAGGACAGTAGTAAGAGCACACAGGGATCACACACAAAATATACAATATATACAAATAAGTAGTAGCTATGTTTCTTAACTAACATAACTAGCTGTAGATGCTGAAAATGCTACCGAACCCGATGGTGGTCACCGACAGTAAGGGTCAGGCTGAAGAGTCCTATCAAGCCATGATGGTTTATGGGACTCCTGAGGCAGCTGTCCAGTACCGGCAGGCCAAGCGTATCACTGCCCAGGCTGTTGCAGAGGCTAAAACCCGGGACTGGGAGGAGTTTGGAGAGTCAATGGTGCAGGACTGTTAAATCTCAAAGAGATTCTGGCAATGGGAAGCAGTGCCGTGCCAAAATCGTTTACGGTACGGGTGGAGAGCTGCTGATCTCGACTGGGGAAATTGTCGGGCGGTGGAAGGAATACTTCAAGGTTCTACTCAATCCCCCCGTCACGTCCTCCGTTCTGCAGACAGAGACTGAGAATGTTGGTGCAGATACTCCCATCTCCCTGGCTGAGGTCACCAAGGTGGTTGCCAGCCTTGGTGACAAGGCTCCGGGAGTGGATGAGTAAGTAAGTAAGTAAACTTTATCTACTGTATATACCACCTTTCACAAACCAGAGTCACAAAGCGGTATACAAATTGTTATTTTTGGGCATTTGTCTCTCATTCCACACATAGATGGGAGCGGGGTCACCAGTACAGGAGGCGCATGCCAGACCTATTGTATTGTATTGTTTTTAGTGGTGGGGGAAACCGGAGTACCTGGAAGAAACAGGCAAACTCGACTCAGAAAGGCCCTGTTCCAACTTGGGTTCAAACCCAGGACCTGCTTGCTGAGAGGCGAGAGTGCTTTCCACTCAGCCACCGTGCCGCCCAGATCTGTCCTGACTATACTATTTAATGTCTTGGGTGACACGTCTCTGCAACATTGCGTGGCGAATGGAGTGGCAGACCTGGGTGGTCGTCCCTCTCTAAAAGAAGGGGGACCGGAGGTTGTGTTCCAATTATGGTGGGTCACAATCATCAGCCTCCCCGTTAAAGGACACTTTGACGTTGGTTAAATCTCGGATTTACCCAACTATACGCTCCATCAGATATTCAAGGATCATGTGCTTTGTGAACTTGGAGAAGGCATTTGACTGTGTTCCCCTGATGTCCTTTGGGGGGTTCTCTGTGAGTACGGGGTCGGGTGTCCTGACCGGTGTCAGAGCAGCGTTCGCGGCCACTGTATCAGACTGTTGTGGTGAATAGGGAGCAGCGTCTGTAGTCAGAGCTGTGTCAGACCGAAAGTCAAAGCTCTCGATGTCACACAGGAGTAGCTCGGAGTAGAGCCGCTGCTTCTCCACGCCAAGAGGAACCAGTTGAGGTTGGATGCCTCCCTAGGGGGTTGTTCGGGGCATGTAATATTCTGACGTGCCACAGATCCATTTTCGCCTTATCCACTTAGACAGTGATATTGGCTCATTAGGACAGCGGCTCAGTCTGGTTCACACCAGTCGCCTTCCTCTTTTTCTGATGAGCTCCAGACGTCAACACAAACTGACGCACACACTGCAGTATCCGCTTTCTCACACTCCAAACTGTTAGAGGACACAGAGACACAGTTTTTGTCAAGGGCTGGATCTGCACATGTGTTGTTTGTGTGAAAAGCAAAGTTTAAAATTTCAAACAAAGGCCACATTCAACTGTTCTAATTCAATTCATGCGTTTTAGCTTGAATCCACTTCCCCCTGAGTCATTTTCAGGAAACATAATTTCCTGAATTTTTCCATAATTTTCTCCCTCCTGGACTGCCACCTTAACGTGGTGGGGGAGTTTGAGTACTCGGGTGATCCTGGGAGCTATGCTGTCTGGGGCTTCATGCCCCTGGTAGGGTCTCCCATGGCAGACAGGTCTCAGGTGACGAGTCAGACGAAGCGCAGTCCACAACCCGTCATGGATCGCACAAAAAAAGAACAAGTGACGTCGCCCGGCATGGCGCAGCCGGGGCCCCACCCTGGAGCCAGGCCTGGGGTCGGGGCCCAAAGCGGGCGCCTGGTGGCCGGGCCTTAGCCCACGGGGCCCGGCCGGGCTCAGCCCGAAAGGACGACGTGGGCAGTCCCTCCTGTGGGCCCACCACCCGCAGAGGGGTCCGTGGCGGCTCGGTGCAGAGAGGACTGGGCAGCAGTCGAAGGCGGAGACCTCGGCGACCCAGTCCGCACACCCAACATCTAGCTCTTGGGACGTGGAACGTCACCTCACTGGGGGGGAAGGAGCCCGAGCTTGTGGGGGAGGTCGAGAGGTACCGACTAGAGATAGTCGGCCTCACCTCCACACACAGCTTGGGCTCTGGAACCCAACTCCTTGAGAGGGGTTGGACGCTCCACTTTTCTGGTGTATCTCGCGGGGAGAGGCGGCGAGCTGGGGTGGCCATACTCATTGCCCCCCATCTCAGCCGCCACGTGTTGGAGTTCTCCCCGGTGAATGAGAGGGTCGCGTCCCTCCGCCTTCGGGTGGGGGACAAGTCTCTCACTGTTGTGACGGCCTACGGGCCTAACAGCAGTGCAGAGTACTCGGCCTTCTTGGAGTCCTTGGGAGGGGTACTGGACAGTGCACCGCCCGGGGACTCCGTCATTCTCCTGGGGGACTTTAACGCCCATGTGGGAAGCGCCAGTGACACTTGGATCGGGAAGAACGGCCCCCCTGATGTGAACCCGAGTGGTGTTCAGTTGTTGGACTTCTGTGCTAGTCACGGTTTGTCCATCACGAACACCATGTTTGAGCACAAGGGTGTCCACCAGTGCACGTGGCACCAGGACACCCTAGGCCGGAGGTCGATGATCGACTTTGTTGTCGTATCATCTGACCTTCGGCCGCGTGTTTCGGACACTCGGGTAAAGAGAGGGGCAGAGCTGTCAACCGATCACCACCTGGTCGTGAGTTGGATCCGCTGGCAGGGGAGGAAGCCGGTCAGACCTGGCAGACCCAAGCGTGTAGTGAGGGTTTGCTGGGAACG